ACACAGACACACACTCACACAGACACACAGAGGGATGCGCACACACAGACAGAGACACTCACACACTCTCACACAGACACTCACACACATATACTCGCACACACTCACTCACACACACACACACACACACACACACACTCACACTCACACTCACACTCACACACAGTTACTGGACACTGTTTTAATTTATTTACGTCTAATCCAAAACACTTTTGTATGGTCCTATTCCATGCTTTTTCGGTGCCAAAGTCTCTTTCGTGAGAAGAGAGAAGCATGGCTTCGAAGTCAGGTAGTGATGTCTGGGTTAGCTACATACATATCTGATTAATCTAATATAGGATGCATTGGGAAGTTAACATTTAACTATTAACATGCTGAATGCGCTGCATATTACCAGTGTTTCATGCTCAAATGCAATGCCTGATATTGACTGAGTTATTTGAGACGGTCATATTGCTTTTAAATAGGGATGCACGATATTGGATTTTTGCAGATAAGCCGATATTTCAACTCATTTCGGCTGATATATTTCCTTTTGTTTGGAAACAACACCGAGTCTCTCCTGTGCAGAAATTATAAGCAAAGAATTTTTAAATTTTGGTTAGTTTTTAACAAGAACTTATTTGTTAGAGTTAAATAAACAATAACGAAGTTCTTTTATAATGACTGACAATACACTGAAGCTTTGAAAATAACTATAAATAAACTATATATCAATCGCTGCATTTTTTTTTTCCAGAAAGATGCAGTAGTAACCTTAACATTTTATTTTATGATTTAACATTTGTAGATGGTCTAAAGCAAAAGAGTTTCAGAAAATATTTTAAAGCTCATAATTTGTTTAAAAAATATAACGTATTACACATTAATGAATAAATCAGTATATATAAAATTACTTAATTTACATTGTGATTTTTTTTTTATTCATGTGCGCTATAGCTCCTGACCTTTAAATCAAAACATACTCATGATTTTATGACTGCTTTACTTATTCAGAAACACAGTCTAAATGTTATTTGTGTATTTTACTTTCATCAG